GGCGGGGGGGGGCATGGCTGATTTCAGAAAAAATATCCTACAGACTGCAGTTCAGGCAAGAAAACACCTGGGGTAAAAAAAAAACCTACCAAGGTCATTTCGTGCCAATGCATTGAAATTCGTGTGGCACCTTAATGTACAATTTGTAATTCAAAATATAAGACACTGACTTGGACTCAACATTTTCATGCTATGTATGGTGTATATATGTAGTAGCTAAAATGCATTATTTTTGTCTTGGTAAAACAGCAGATTTTGGATGTCGTCGTAAAAACGACGACTAACCCTCATCACTAATATCAGTGCTTAACCCGAATCACTTTTTCAGGGCTTCCTTAACGTGATTCATAACTTGACTCATGACTCATTGACTCATTTGACTTATAAGACAAGCATTTCGCGTGAGTCGGAAAAAAATGAGAAATATGTCCTAAAATAAAAAACAACGTTTTGGTCAGAGAAGAGTTTTGAGTTTTGTCTTTTGCTTATTCTTTAGTATGATTTTATGGCCAAACTGATACAAGTCACGAGTACTTATTACACACCATGAACATTTTAAACGACACCATTAAAGAGCCTACATCAAGTTTGTCATAATTTCGATACATGCTTGTGTCCCCCATTCTCAGTCCTTTATATAAAAACATTAATTAGGCATAGAACTAATCAGTAACCTTTAAAGACTTTATTGACCTTTTCATTATTATTTTTTTTAACTTTGCGAAATTTATATTAGAGTAAAACGTTTGGCCTTTATTTTTCGATCCTCGAAGCATATATTAATTAAAGCTTGGAAAACCCATTATACAAAAAACTTTATCCAAGCAAAGGAGTGGACGTTCCCGCCGTCTCAAAACCAAAACTAGCAGTAGAAAGTAGTTGGCAAGGAATAAGAAATTCTTCTAACTTTCTTTGTTGAAGCGAAGGAAGAGGTTTTGTGCCTCTCTCTCTCTCTGTCTTGGCTTATAAGAAACTACATGAGGGCTCAGTTGTTCGAAGGCCGATTAGCGCTTAAACCGGGGTTAAATTTAACCCGGCGGGTTTCTTTTTCTTGTGTTCAAAAGCTTTTTCTCGGACAATTTTCTGTGCTTTTTTCAGAGCTTCCGATCATCAACTTGTAGACAAAAAGAATTAAAACTGAAATGCTTTTTAAGCTTTCAAATCTGAATTCAAATCTCTCACTAAGCCTGGGTTATCTTAACCCAGCTTTGAACAACTCGCCCCAGGTTATTTTCCAGATGGCAGAAACGCCCCTCACAGGAAAGGGAAAAGCAATATTACTAAGGGAAGTGTACATGTACATCTTCCCCTTGGTATTAATCAGTTCACGTTCAACTTATACCCATATAGTCGTCTTAGAATTAAACTTCATTTTTTTGCTATTGCTATTAGCTCATTTCTACCTTACGCAACTACTTTTTGGAAGGTTCCTTCAATTTCAAGATAAATTTGCACCTTGCAGAAATAATGACTCAAAATGTGATGTCAGATCATCTTTAATCTCTTTTATTTGACTAATACGATTTAGTATTTTCGGGGTAGTATCCCATAAAGAAGAGATAGACTACAAGTTCAAGGCGGCACGTAATGGATAAACCATTCAGCACAATTGGGAGTTTGAAAAAAGGTCACTGAAAGCATGAATTCATTAACATGAGTCACCAAAACGAACCTCAGGGATGTTAAGGCGTCAGTCAGCGACGGTCGGCAAGGGACAGGTAAATATGGAAACTGAAAACTTGTGGATGAAGCGTTTAGGTAGATTCAAGATAAAACTAAAATGCAAACATTGCGTTTTTTAATTCAGTTTTTTGTCCATAGCCGCCATTTGTCACGGCGAATCCGCAAGAATAGTTGTGCTTAATTTTTGTGTCGTTTACCAACAAAGTTTACGTTAAGTAACTTCAGACAAGTGTCACAAAAAGAGAAATAGAGAGTGACATTTTTTTTTTATCAACCATCCTAATCCCGTTACATATAAAGGGGCATAACTATCCTATTATTGGGCTGCATGTGGCACCCCAATTATGGAATGGGCTTTCTCCGTCGAAAAAAGACAAAATGGTGGACGACTCAACCAGAAGGCCTTGCGTGTTCTACTCCCCCTTCAATAGGGCCGATTTTTGCAGCAAGGGGACGAGTCATTTCAGGTAGTCTGGCGAACAGATTTGGAAGTCGATTTGGGACTAACACAGAATTATTGCGTGGAGTTGTTCACCCTATATGTACGCCGAATGATTATCGAAATACAGTATTCGATGATGTTATTAGCCTGTCTGAGAGCTACAGAAACAGTGCCCTCCCACGGTCCCCACGGGAAAGCTTCAGCTTGTTGCAATTAACTCCCTGCATAGAAAAGGTCTTTCCTCACAAGAAAGGAATATCACATTTCTAGATCGCCGACTCAAATAGAAACATATTCACTTGGATAGTTAGAAGGGCTTTAAATGCAATATCCGAAATAAAACTGAAACTTAATTTGCTTTGCAAGTTTTAAAAAACAGAAAATTACTGTTATTTAACATCAAGGGAAGATCTCTGTTAAAAAAACACCAAAATTAACTCTCAGTGTCACGTTTTATAAGCGTAGAACGACAATACTTTTTGGAATTTTCGTAAAATAAACACCTTATTAATGTGTCAAATACCTAGCTTACACTGAGTGTAAACTAATTGTGGACAGCTAACTAACTAACTAACTAACTATCTACCTAAAAAGAAAATCAAACAACTAAAATAAACAAACTCTGAAACCCTGCCCTCCCCATTAATTGTCCTAAGAGTTGCATAGGTGACAGTTTTTACAGGTGTCAGTTCTAATGAGGTTCTTAAGTGTTGCAGAACTCTTAATACGGATACTTAATTTGGACCATATTACAGGGGCACCCAACGGCAATTTTCTGAAAATATCTGTTCGGAAGACGATTTGAGATCTAGAATTTTCGGAACATTTTTTGTAAAATGTCTTGCCTGCCTGCCTCTATTAGGATTTTCGAACATCTAAGATATGGTATAATTGGCCATTTTTAATGGATTTTTACCCTAAAAAGGTCACCTAGTATTTTTGGGAGCCTTTTTTCTGGCTGAAGTTTTCGAAAAGGTAAGTTTTAATCCCTTTAATTTTTTGGATCACTAGACTTTCTGCTAGGAAATCCAAACAGATTAAAAATTTTTAGGCGATAAAAATATGCCTATATCTACCTTTTAAATACTAAAATACGTTTAACAATGCTATGTTTAAGTGTTTTTTAACTATCTTCTCGTTGGGTGCTCCTGATTTTACAGGGCTAATATAACTAATACAGTGTTCCCCATAGGTGGTAGTGTTTATTCTTGCAAATTTTCAGGCTAAAACTTCGGTTGCTTAAATTAAAAATATCGGATATATAACTAGGCAATAAATTATACTTAACTTTGTACATTATTATTGCTGCCTCATGCAGCCTATGGTTTAGCAGTGAGGCGAGTTAACTGAGCCCTTAAGAGAAGTTCCTTGTATGCACTACGTATACTTTTATCACAATAGACTGATCTACGCGCTCTTTCTTGGAGTCTCTCAATCTTCTGGCTGTCAAATTTTCTACAAAAGTGCCATACCGTCTGACAATAAGTTAATTGTGGAAAAATAAAAGATTTGTAAATTCTAAGCTTTGCTAATGTTGGTGTTAAATTTTTCAGTCTGATCAGGACCCCTATTTTCCTAGATACTCTTTTAGGCAGTTCATCTAAGTGGCTCTTGCCTTAAAGCGGTTGCGTCTATGACTGCGATGATCTACTTTTATATAATTCTTCACCGCAGAGTTCACATCATATGATTTTCATATATTCAGAACTTCGTCATCATCCTTTCACGGGTTTATAACGAACCAATTCAACGATCTGTCCCCAGTTGGCTTGTTAGCTTAATTGTTAGCTTAATTAGGAAGCTTAATTCCTTGACCCCGAATCGAATGGGCTATTGACTCAGAGGCCATGAGGACGAGGGGAATTTCTTTAGAATAAAAAAAATTTTGCTAGTTAAAGCTAGACTTTGATTAATCCTTTTTTGCCGCCAAAAAGCCGGCGCTTTTCCCTTCTAGTGGGCTATAACATATAGCTTAGTAGTCGCTCAACCAATCAGAACACAGCATTGATAATAGACCACTAGCTTAGTAATACCGGATAGCTTTTCGTGCCGACACGTAAACTATCCGGTATAATTTGAACACCTATCCGATATGCGACTCTCCGGTTTTAAATATCGGCTCGGGTCAGCTTCGCTCCATTACAGAAATCGCGCCGAAATCACAGTCCTTATGTGTGAACAGAAGCCCGAACCGGTGCATTTTTTTGGGCCGGAGCAAAAGCTGTTCGGTATAGTGTGAACATAGCCTAAACTAAGTCAAAAGTTTGTATCCAAATAAATGTTCTCGGATTTTCTGATACGCGTTAACGCCCTGCGAATCCGAATTTCCTCAATGTAATAAATCTGGAACATAATGAATTTGAGAAAAATTTCGTCTCCTATAAACCTAGCCTAAGCATGGTGGTGGGTTGTGTATTTGTCTTTTTAAAAAAGCTGATCTTTCTCTTTTTGCAGCACTTTTTATCACGAAAAACAAAGGTCCTTATGAATTTTAATAACAGCCGGCAAATTACAGCTACCAAGAGAAGTTTTTATAGTGGCTCTTACTTATCGCACCTGCCACTCCCTCAAGCTTAGCATGAGTGAAATTGTCAAAGTGATTGTTCGTTGTAGACCCCTGAATGAAAAAGAACGAGAAATGAACACGAGACTTGTGATAGTAACTAACTCCTTATTGCATAAGTGCAGCATCCAAAGGTCTGGAGATGATACCAAATCAGCCAAGAACTTTACATTTGATGGAGTTTACGGCATTTGAAGCAGCACAGAGGTAATTTATTCTGAAATTGTGCGTCCAATTGTTAACGGCGTCGTTGAAGGATACAATGGGACTGTGTTTGCATATGGGCAGACATCGTGCGGGAAGACATTTACAATGGATGGTATCCAAACCCCTTCGGCACAAAAAGGAATCATCCCTCGATGTTGTGAACACATTTTGAGCAGTACACGCCAGCGCAGTCTGGAAAAACATAATAATTATCTACTTCGCGTGTCATACCTGGAAATATACAATGAAGAAATCCGAGATCTGCTAGTCAAGGAGTATAACTACAAGCCTGAAATTAAGGAACGCCCAGACAAAGGAATTTACGTCAAGGGTTTATCAAGCATAACTGTTGATAGCTACGAGGATATAAGGGAGATCTTAAAATCAGGGCGTAAGAATCGGTCAGTGGGTTCAACTTTGATGAATGCTGATTCATCTCGGTCTCATTCGATCTTTACCATCGATCTCGGGGCCTGCCTTTGTTCTGGTCCAGGCAAAAAGGAGGTCTATCGCACAGGCAAGCTCAACCTGGTAGATCTGGCGGGAAGTGAGCGTCAGAGTAAAACTGGTTGTACTGGCGAACGGTTTAAAGAATCGACGAAAATAAATTTGTCATTATCGGTTCTCGGGAATGTCATATCGTCCTTGGTCGACTGCAGATGTACACATGTTCCTTATCGTGACTCAAAACTAACGAGGCTTCTGCAAGACTCGTTAGGTGGAAACTCAAAGACTTTGATGATTGCCTGCATAAGTCCTGGGGAGAATAATTATGAAGAGACCTTGAGCACTCTGAGATATGCTGCGCGTGCAAATAGTATTAAGAGCAAGCCAAAGATAAATGAGGACCCAAAAGATGCGATTTTGAAGAAGTATCATGAGGAGATACTACAGCTGAAAAGGATCATTGCGAAGGAAATTCCTGTTCCCAGCCAGCTGGTTGCTGAGTTGAAAGGTAAGCCTATCAAGATCAGCTGTTTGATGATAGATAGCTGGAGAATCTTTTCCAGCAGTTTTTGCCATAAGATGAACTGTCTCATGGCAATTATCAAAAATAACTTCTTGAAGGGAGCCAAAACAATATACTTGTTAAACGTTTTTCTCTCGTTGTTCTGGTCACTCTATATGAACAGGAAAAAGTTTTCAGCTCAAGGGGAAAGCATGAAAAACTGCCACAAAAATGAATTGATTTAATTTCGTTATTTTATCTTATTTTAATTTATTCCTATTTCCTTTTTTTTCTTTTCAATTCGTACGTGGTTCTAAAATATAGAAATATTAAAAGATGGCAAAACTTGAGCTCAGTAGTGAACAAGTGAATGATTTTGCCCATCATATAAAGCACTGGGTTCTGTGGACAGCCCGCACACCTGGTACGTGTTTGGCCGGAATGTCATGGGCCCATTTCTGTCAAGAGTTTTTTGCTTGTCGCAACACTCGTAAAATAAGGATTATTTCACTTTTCTTACCACAACAGTTTCGTAACAAGGTCTTTGTGACTAAGGAGCAAAAGGTCCCATGCATCTTTGCAGATCTAAGAACGAATTCGTTCTGAGCTCTGCACGGAGACATGATCAACAACATTTGTTCTGTACTTAGAATTTTTATAGAGCTCTCAACTAGATCGTCTGGAATGCAGGTATCGAGGTGTTTGAAATTTTTATAGTATTAACTCATTAGTTTATATTATTTTACAGAAATCAGAGAAGAATCAAACAGCGCATCGCTAAACTACGGTCGTTCTTTGACGAAGACGTGCGAGAAGGAAGAAACAATTCAAACTTATGTTTCAAGACAGATAAGTGTGAAGGGAATTGAGACGCGTCACATCGACTCTCAAAAACTTCACGTAAAAGCCTGCAAAGAGAAAGCTTCTCTGAAGAGAGAACTTGACGATATCCGAGCGCATCTTAAAATGCAGCAGAGAAAACTTGAGTTTGAAGAAAGGAAAAATAAGCTTGAGGAGCATAAAACCGCTTTAATGTTGCTAAGAGGACGGAGGACAGTGGATGGAGGTTGCATGTTAGGCACGCGTAAAGAGGCTGACAACGATCATCAACGCTCATCAGAATTACGACAAGCTACGTATTCTGGAGATTTATCAACACAAGGGACATCAACAGAAATGAAACGTTTACCTGGTTATTCACCCTTGTGGGTAGAAAAACCATGCTTAGAATTTGAGAGAGCAGAAAAGGAAGCGAAGTCAGTTTCGTCCTCAGCACAGGAAGGGCCCATCATGGTTTCGGTGGCAACGTCGACTGATGATTTAGATGTACTGGTAATGAAGACAGATGTTGATTTCAAACATCATAAAAATGAACACGAACGGGAAATGGAGGCAAACCACTGGAATATTCGAGAAAATATGTTATGTCGAGAAGAAGCCGAGGGCCGTTCCAGAAGTGTGTCACCTGACAGTGAGGAAAAGAAGAGCTTCGCAAATGGCCAGATTGTTTATTTAAGTTCACTAGATGAGGAGGTAAGACAAGGGCAAAGCGTTTAACAAACAATTTAGGCATATATATTTCATAACGCAAGTCAGGGATTGTTTTTACCCTTATACTTCATTAATATTGAAATTTATCTCAGAAGAAGAGTGACATCTTTGTCATTCTATTGCTTAGTATGCATTGATGGAAGTACTACTTGACTGGTATAGTAATTAGGAACGCAAACACTGACTGGGTATGATGAGTACACATATAATCATTTAATTTTTGTCAGGTCATGTGATAATACTCTAGAGAATTGTTTCTTTCAATTCACTTTCTAATTCACGTGCATATATAAGCATGATTTCTGAAAAGACAGAGGGTCAAGTTTCCCTAGGACTCTATTGGGAAATCAAAACATACAAGCTAAAGAGGTGTATTACGCTCTGACATAACGACTGTCAGGGAGTAGGCTGTAATATACGTTTTAAGGTAAAATTTAGAGGCACCATTTGGTAACGGTAGCCCACGAATTCAAGCATTGCGATAACCTTTTTGTGGGGAAACTATACACTATTTGAAGGCAAATTATCCAAAAATAAAATAATGGATAACGAAATATCAGAGTCATATGCCTTTGCTTTTATAGTTGAGTGTCATGAGTGGGCTCTGGGTGGATCGAGGGTGATTTCTTAAAGTGTTAACTGCTCACCATAACACACCAAGAGAGGATAATGCTCTCTTAAAAACATAAACTGATTGCAAAGTCCAAAAAGACATCTCGGAGATCAGGCAACCTGTGGTTCGAGCTTTTACAGTCTCGAAAAGTGACTCACAAACTCAACTAAGTTGTACTACCTGCACTTTACTGAAAGATGCTATACAATCACCCATTGTCAAAAAAATCAAGAATAATAAGGTGCCACAAGTCAACGGTCAAGTCTCTAAACAACTAGCACCTTGGGGGTAGAGGTGTGTGGCATTTTAGGGAGGTGGCCGTTGTGAAGAGGATATAAAAAATGCAACTGAAATGTTGGACTGTCCGTCGGATCGATTTAATAGTCTTAATATAGGGAGCTTAAGCAACGACGGCGGCGACGGCAACGATAACGGCAAAAAAGAGCTAGCAATAGGTTTGGATTAGCTTAACAACAACTTTGCACGTGCTGCACACTTTTTTGTACATTTCTTTCCAGTCACTGGACGAATACGACGTAAAACTGCCTAATTTCATGTTCTGTGGTGGACTTGAAAACAAGACAACAACTTTCTTTTGTTTTCCTGAAATTCGATAAAGTCCCTTAGAGCTCAGTCAGCTCCAGAAAAAATTGCCAACATTTGACAAATTCAACGAGATGGAATAAGCTCGATAAAGTTTAAAGCAGCGCGATTCACCTCTCAAGTGACGTTTTCGTAGTCCTCACCGTCGTTGTTTCTTAAACTCCCAAATATAGGTTGGACCGTAATTTTGACCAAAACGTCTTACACCACATGTTATTTATCAATCTTTTTGCTGTCTTTCAGGGTCCAGTGAATTTTGGTCTTTGCTGTCTCTGTCCTGAAAAGTCCTTTTTCGGCGAGAGAATAGAAGAGTTCTTAGGGCATAAGCAGAAACATTCTTAACATTCCTTAAGCTAGATTTTTTTTTTTGTTTTTATAGTAAAAATATATAAAGCTTTGAAAATCAAAGTCTGAACGTGTAAGGATATAGCACATTGCTTTTATTTTTACCGTTGCATATAAAATAAAACATGAAGCAGCATTTTGGTACATCGATCCTCGTCTGGAGACCTTTAATTGTACGAAACGAACTAACCATTAAAACTATATAAAGACATAAATCAAAAATATTTTAATAAATCATGCATAATTAATAAGAATGTCGTTGGTGGAGCTTTCTGTTATTGCTGTGTTTGTTTGTTTTTTTGTTTATTTGTTTGAACACAATTCTCTGACTAGCTGAACTCCTTACGCTAACGACAAAAAAGAAATTACTAGCATTTAGACCTTGCATTTTAATGAAATAAATTTACAAGGCCACAGGGAGCAGAGGAGTTCTGTTTGAATTAGCTAATAAAGAATCTCTTACCTCTTTGATTGCTGTAATCTGTTAATTCTCCGAGTGTTAGTTAACCGCGTGTGATCATTTTGGGTCTGTTAACCGTTGTAAGCAATTCCCTTCGAGCGTCCCTTTCGCTCAACATTTCTTTTCGACCATCATTATTTTAAAACTTAACAACCGCTGAATGAAGCGTACGTGTGTATTCCGTTGGCCTTCGGCGGAATGTCTTCGAAAAGAGGCACGAAGTGCCGAGAGAAAGAAAGAGACAAGGGATAAAACTTGTACCGATGTGGACCGCAGCAACTGGTGACGGAAGGAATCTTGAGAGACCAAGAGCGCTTTATTCAGCGGTTGCTATGTTTTGAAATAATGGCGGTCGGAAAGAAACGTTGAGCGAAATGGACGATCGAAGGGAATTGTTTACAACGGTTAACGACCCAAAATGATCACACACGACTAACTAACACACGGAGAATTAAAAGATTACAGCAATCAAAGAGGTAAGAGATTCTTTACCATCTAATTCAAATTGAACTCCTCTGCTCCTCCCTCGGCAAGGATAGACCAATTTCATTTTAAGGTTCCTTCTAACGTTATTCAAGATTGTCTTGTTTTGTTGGCTGTTATTGTAATAGGGACCTTACGATTTTACGACGGTGACTTGTAATAATAGCGAAAAAATTTGAAAGGATGAGTTAGTGTATTTTTCAGCCTCGTTCACTATTGGTGTCGCTATCGTTGGATCATAAGATCCGTAACAGTTGCACACCAGTGGTGTTCATTCTAGGTAGATCCACATTTTGTCGTAACAGTAAGAACCAAGGCAGGCGTAAGTTGACGGCAAATTTGTTAATGAATAAAACACGACCGCCAGTAGCTTTTCAAATCATAAATCAAAGGCATCTCGGTGGTCTATCTAAAATTTGGTGAATAGGTCGCAATTGTCTCATAATCTTCCAGTAAATCGTTAGCAGATCACGATATCTACTTTTCCCGCCTTTTTTGGTCTTTCTCTTCCCGCCGTAAAATCCTCTCTTCTAACAATAAGCCACCATGTCCATAACGCGCATGACTGACTTTAAATTAAGTGGCTTCTGCAATCGCAGAAAAAAAGAAATCATTAAGACATTGAGACCTACAATCGGCGACAAAATTGTTGAGACATTGTACTTAAATAGGGTGACTTCGGAGAACAAAAGAATCCACACCCCTCCCCTGTCCCCTCCATTCAAAGTTGGGGTGTTTGTTGTTTTCTATAGGTAGCTAGAACAAGGGCCCAACATTGTACGGAGGGGATGGGGGAGGAAAGCTATATTTCCTCCTTTTGAAGTTCATAAAACGTAAAAAAGCCTACTTTTGGGCGAAGTGTCTCAACTCATTTTGTCGCCGATTGTCTGAATCGAAATCTACGCGCTGTTGTCCTATTAGCACCGGTTAGGAGACGGTAACTAGTTGAGATTACTATATTCACCGGGTCGTTTTTCAGAAGATAGATAAGATACCCATATAATCCCTTTCCTGTGTTTTTCGAGGGAAAATTGGTTTTGACAATCTTTGTACTCGGTAGTGATTTCAAGTAATTACGCAGCATACCCACGTACCGAATGATTGATTTTCCTCTGGTAACTAAATGTGATCGGTAGGAATCGATGGCAGATAATATATTGTATTTGAATATATCCCTAGTAAGTTCGAAGTGTTTATTGGAAGTTTGGCTATTTGATAAGGGTGGGATGGACGATAAAATAGCCATGATTGCTATGCGCAGGAGAATTTTCAGGAAAAATGTTCCAACTTCTAATGCACAGCAAAGTTGCATAGCTTCGCTAAATATGTGCAGCAAATTCGTTGCCCATATACCCATGAGGGTCTTTGAAGAATGTACTTTACAGTAGAAACTATTAGGTCAGAAGGAGACTGGCCACGAGTGACCACGAGTAACCAACTTGTTCTTAAAAGATAATTAGATTATTTTGTTTTTTACTCTGATCGTGGTTACTCTAGACTGCAAAACAGTCCGTATTTTTGCGTATTCAAGTACGGGCGAGCAGTCAAACAAAACGTCTGGAACGAGGCTGAAAACATAGAGAGAGACTGGGGAGAGACGCTAAAAATACGGACTGTCCGTTTTGCATACGTTATATTCGTTCGAATTACCCGCTTCTCCCAGCCACGGGCAATTCCCATTGGCTAAATTTCGATGCAAGCTGTCACCAAGCTGTCAAGTATTGTTTTCAACAAGTCATTCGCGACATTCCCTACCGTGATGAATTGCTAAAGCTTTCCCTGTAAAATGAAGGATGTTGATGCCTGGATTTGCTCGCAAGAATTGGGATTTGTTTTAAAATCGGAGCAGAGGGAAGCTTTGGAGTTGCTGCTTAGGGGAAAGGATGTTTTCTGTATTCTACCAACAGGATTTGACAAAAGCCTTACTTATCAGATGTTTGTTGAATTGTTCATGCCAAGAGTTCTTCAAGTTCCGTGCAACGGCCAACCGTCATTGTTATCTCGCTTGGCTAAAAAAGAGAGATCGGTAGGAAACACACGACTTTTACCTCATGCAAAAATGCTGCTTGTTCCAATGAATCAATTTCTCTGTCGAGTAGATTATGCTTCGGAGGAAACATTTTGACCGAGCAAATGTGAATTTTGTCCGCTTAATAAATATATTTCATACTGAGAGGTCGTGACAAGCATATTGATTTCCTCTGGTCATGATTTGCCCTCTGATGCAAGAGCATTTTGGCTTGGCCCCTTTATAAATGTAAAGCTCTTCATTGCGACTGATTAAGGGTTTTAGGTTGGTTTATTTCTCCAAATAAAAGTGCCTCCTGGATTTGAATAATTTTAAGCGATTTTCTTTGTGTCTGTGAATGTGTCTTTTTCCTGTAATGTTTTGTCACGCTGGGCCCAGCTCGTTAGCGTTTTTAGCAGATTTTAAATTCTCACAGGTAGTGATTTACAGAGCTAAATCACCAAGACGTGGACTGGAATGAGGGGATTTACTCATTCTTTTCAATCGCGATAATTGTTCATTGTCAGTTGGCGTGTTCAGTCCTTCTCTAATTTGCGAAAGCATCGCCGTGCAGTTAGCCTGCGAAAACATCCGTTCCTCCTCGCTCTTCGTCGCTGAGGACGTTTCGCGCGTCCTCAGCGACGAAGAGCGAGGAGAAACGGATGTTTTCGCAGGCTACCGTGCAGTTTCCCGGGGCAGTTTCTAACCTTTGTTCCGCACGGAGAGCAAACGTAACTCTTGTGGAGAAAGATTCTCCTTCCTCGAGGACAACGAAAAGTTAGTTTTTCAGTAGGTCGGCCCACTTTGGTAACGTTTCTCCTTTTCTGGTAGGCGCAACAAGCACATTTTCCGAGCTTATCCATCCACTTGTAAAATTGCCGAACTGTGTTTTGAAACAACAGCCGCACATTCTATAATTTATTCCAAGCGCTCGGCTCTTTCGGCTTTCTCCCTCTTCGAGGAGCAGGCACAGGCTTTGTTGTCATCCTGCCACTTCCACTCATTTTTGATCCTCCACTATATATACTACATTTCACCATATACACTACATTTCACAGAGAAGCAACGCTAAAAATTGCTTTAGAATTACTGGATTACAGCGTCAAGATTCGAAGCCAAGTGCAGACAATAACACGCGCTATTCTCCCTCGAAATCAATCACCGAGTGTATCAAATTCACAAGAGGGCGGAAGTTGTGAACAGATTTTTGACAGCTCGACGACATTTTTGAACCCCCTGGTCGGAAGGAACTCATTGTATGGTAAACGGACAGTCGGTTTTTTTTCTCTCGCCTCACACGCGGGCGTGTGAGGCTCGCGCGCTTCGCGCGCGCAAGACTTTTACGCCACGCTTTACCGATTTCTTAACTGATTTTGAGAAAAAAACCGACTGTTTTGCAGTCTATGGTTACTCGTGGTTACTCGTGGAAATTCGTCCTAAAGAGCAATTTTAGCCATTATAACTACTTTAATGCCTAGAAAGCTATTAAGTTTTCTATCCTTTTCACTTTGTTCTTTGTTTCGATGCGTTTCGATAAAGGAGAGAATAAGAAATCGTGCCCGACGCGCCACATCGCACAATGTTAGGGCACGGTTAAGCGTGACACGAAATGTCACGCACTGAAAATAACGAAATCGCCTTATTCTAATTGTTCTAAAATAGCTATGATGAAGTCAAACATAACAAATAAAAAGCCACCAGGGGTCTTACATCCCAGCATAAAAAAATGAATTCAATTAACTTTCTAATATAAAGGACGTACGGCCACTTTTGAGATTCAGACATTTGGCGACAAAATTGTTGAGACATTGTACTTAAATAGGGTGACTTCGGAGAACAAAAGAATCCGCACCCCTCCCCTGTCCCCTCCATTCAAAGTTGGGGTGTTTGTTGTTTTCTATTGGAAGCTAGAACAAGGGCCCAACATTGTACGGAGGGGATGGGGGAGGAAAGCTATATTTCCTCCTTTTGAAGTTCATAAAACGTAAAAAAGCCTACTTTTGGGCGAAGTGTCTCAACTCATTTTGTCGCCGATTGTAGCTGCCAAAAAAGCTCAACGGATATACAACCTTGAGCAGTGGAGCCCCTCTTCCACATAAACACAAATCGACCCATTAGCCAAGTTAGAACAAGGCTCAGGAAATCATACCAAGTCTGAAAAATTCGCCTTTGTTAATGCAAAAGCCGGTAGACTTCTAACGTTCAAATACCATGCAAACCGTTATATGATCGAAACATATTTGAACTTGTTTGAGAAATGGGCAAAATTTCAACCTATGCAACAGAAAAGCTCAAAATGGTATTTTATCTTGGTGGTTTGGTGATCGGTGCGAGAGACGGGGAAAAATTGTGCAGTATTTCAGGAGACTCCCAGATAATCCGTGAGAGTTGGCAAATTAAAACGATAATAGCGCTCTATTGAATAAATTGATGAAACTAAACCAGTGATGGGGACATTTCAAGGACAGCAGGGCATCACAAAGTTCCGTTAATAATGTCAGCATACACTCTTCGATGTTGTCTTCTGTCCAGAAACCAAGTGGCACCTTCTCTAGAGTGTTCAAAAAAATGGTTTTGATGTGGTAAGAACCAATTTCAGGGACAACCGGTTGAAGGTGATCCTTTAGGATGATTTTCAAAGCCACAAAACATTTCCTTGCCACGTCTGGGACAAGCTTGGAAAGCTCAACTTCTGCCAAAGAGAACGAGAATCTCCAACTTCTTTGATCCACGTCACTCGGTGCTGGCTTTGCCACCAGGTGACAACCAAGTGATATCATTCTGTGCGTATCAGCAAGACTGGGCCAGTACCTCGGTCGAGAAGGCCAGTCACTTAACGTAGGCCACTCGGTACAGTGAAAGCAAAGAGTTACGTCTGCCTCGAAGAGGGGTTTAATGCTGATCTTCATCGCTGGTCCCTTGCAATGTAGCTGAATCTTAGGTGTAGCATCGTACATTCCACAACAGCATGGCACACCAGGGAGATTTGATACACGCGTATTTTCTACAGCAACTTTGGCTTGATCTCTGATGAGTTTTGAACTAACACAGCTTCCTTGATAGCCAGGAGTGAGAGAAGTTAGCTTAGCGTAGCCAGTAAAACCAGCATCATCCGTTACGAAAGGTTCGACAAGAATGTTTCCTTCGCCAGAAAAAGTCGCTTTGTCTGCCAGGGAACAAAACATCACGTCTAGATCCGTGTATAAAGCGTTAATTTGACATGTTGAATTACAGGCACAATCTGTTGGCTTATAAGACAACATGAACGGTATCGCTTATCTTTCCACCGCACTTCCGGAGAAGATGAAATGGAATCTTGTTCTCGGCATTAATTGTTCCAGCTCAGTCCTGATGTCGTTCATCACCGCTAAAGTTTTGTCTTTGAACTCTGTTAGGTCTTCTTCGCGAGGAATGTTCTCGTCCACAGACAGAAGAATATCTCTAAGAGGTTTGGAGCTTCGTCCGGTAAAAATACATTTTCTGTGACCACACGTGACAGGAAAACAAGTAACCTGTAAAAAGGGGGCATTTAAATACAGCTTATACTTAATTTATTTTTGTGTTAACCCAAAAAAACGTTGGGTTTCTTCATCTGTGGGTTGGGCTGTTTACAAACCCAAACAGACCTATCTTTAAAGAAATCTCACTTTGGAAACACATGGGTATTCGAACAACTCTTAATTTTACTTTACGGTCCTTAGAATCCGGCGAACCTTGAAGCTCTATCTTTTACACCCGGTAACAATTTCTTATCGCGAAAAACCCGCACAAGAGGTTGTTTTTATTACAAAAAGTCACTGAAGACCGGATGCAGTGGTGTAAATAGCAGATGAAATAAAGCAGTAATTAAAAAGGGATCTGTCAGTACCCCCAATCAACGCTTGACAATGAGCCTGTACTTTCATACCGTAATGCAGATTATTTAAGAAAACAAACACAAAAATTTGCGTGTTTCAGTTTTTTTGGTACTCTCATTACTTACATGTAAGAGTACTGAGTCAACAGACTTGGTGTATCGCAACGCCATTTATATATCAAAAAAGTCTCTTAAAAAAACGGAATTGTCCGTCACCACATATTAATTTTTATGCCTTTGACCGTTGGCTCTACCTGAATGCCCAGTTACAAGTGTTTATAACTTAAACCGAGTTATTCTAACGTTTGAAACTTTGTAGCAAATCCTATGATGTTTCCATTAAAATCAAACCTCTAATGGATCTGTTTTGCACTGTGAAATGATTTCTTTTCATTTTGAAAAAGAACTGAATTTGCTCTGAATGAAGGGGCTAATATTACTTACGTACCAAGAAATGTCGTATTATGGCGAAAGCAATGACCAGAAACAGCGCACCACCTAGTGAAGATCCAGCAATTAACCAAAACTTTTTTGTACATGCAGATTCCCCATCTTTACAGTTGTCATTGAAGCTCTTAAAGCTGCGCAGCAATTGTAGGAGAATGCCAGCTATTCCAAGGAAGGAGACCCATGCGATGGCACCTTTAATGGTCCGTATAATACCCCAACAGGGTTTCATACCTCACGAGAAAGAGGACAACAACAGAAAAAAATCACTCGGTTGGACCTTGTAACAGAAGATCACCTCGGTGTTCTAACCAGTGGTAAAGCATGAAAGAGTGCAGGCAATGATTATTCAAAAACAGTCGCCAAAGAATTCATTTCCTCTTTATTCTACATAGTTACACCGCAAAGGAATAATTATAAACTTTTCCATAACATGACGTCACAATAATCAACAGTAATTAGAGACTCCAAAATAGCCATTAGATTGAGAATTACCCTAATTCTCAATACTCTACAGCCATACTTGCATTTTGATTCAATTGTAGTGTCAATGATAATATCGAAAGAGACGGTGAAACATTGTAAATACTAAACATGTTTTTAGTCTAACTGGAATTAAAATTGCTGTTAACTACGCAATAGCTGCAATAGGCCTTTCAGGTAGCAACCACAAGTCCTATATTCAGCAGATTTGTGTAAAGGCCAATACAGAAAGAAATTATGTTTACTTGTTTTGATGAGCTTTGATTATACTGTCAAATAATCGCTAAATCATAGAACTGAAGTATTTGAATTTATGTTGTAAGGTCGGGATTCACGAATTCTCATTGTTATCAGCCAATGGGCAGTGTAACTTATGGCATAGACGGTATACGATTTAAGGAGAAAGATAATTAACAAGCAGGTTGGAATATAAATCAAACATAATGTAGAGTCTCCAAAGAACTCTGAGACAATGCCACAGTGTTACAGTCTAATACTAATAACGCATACTCTGACTCAAGACTTAGGAAGCCCTTACAAGATATGTCCATCAAACATTCCTTTCTGTCCTGAATCAGAGATAGCGAGGTCATTCAATAATTGAGTATTAGATTGTAGCAAGTTAAAACGAAATAGAATAACAAGGCGACATAAATTGTCATTGTTTCTCCTTGGCGTGAGCACATCCGAATTTATTCTAATAAGTGCAGCCGACTTCATTCATCAGTTAGTATTAATTATAGCCTCCCACGCAGGCGTTTTTAGGGGAGCTCGTTTTCCATCCCTCCCCACAAACGGCGTTTGTGGGGAGGGACGAAACACGAGCTCCCATAAAAGGCTATATTAAATACTGTTTATCCCACAGAGTAAAACTAAGATAGGCCACCTTTGCAAACCATATTTAGCGTGTTAACAGTCAATTGAAGCATACAAAAAAAATAAGTTCGAAACTAATCTCCTTTAGTGACCTTAAAACTTGAAGGAGCAAATTAATTAATTAACATGACTGAAGCAAACAATTAATGTAACGTTGTTCGCATCAGTCGGAATGATCTGATTAAGAAAGTAAAATGCTGAGACAGGAAATGTATCATCTTACCTGTGCCGTAAACCACACCGCAGCAAATGGTAAATAATCACACTCAAAAGTGAACTAGTGATGTAGTAAAAATTTAACTTCTTAGAGAAAATTCAAGAAGAGGCCATAAACATAGGGCCGGCATAGGGCCTTTTTG